ATTTAGCCAAAAGAAATGGTTTTGCTCTTTTAGTTTTAAAGAACGCAACATGAAGCTTTTTTAAAAAGTAACAACAATTTACTAAGTCATTGTAGGTTGTAGGTTAATGTAGATAATTGTAAGCCCTGTTTTTCTTTGGTTTTTCAACAAATTCAGGACATTTTTGTCCTGAACATATACAAAAACAAGCACCCCCGTACACACACATTACGTTCCCAGTGCTGCGGCTTTAGTATTGATCCCCTTGACACATTAAGAGGGATCGCCCCCACGGTTTAGAAGCAGAGGAGAGAAGGAGGGATGAGAGAGGGGAGAGAAGTGAAAGATGAAGGGAGCAGCAGGAAGTCTCTCTGTCAGCAGCAGCGCTATGTGCCAGTAGTTTTAACAGTATGAAAAGAACGGGTGAGAAAATGCCAGAGAGGAAACATTCTTTTACCACACAGCATAGCATTACACTTACACAGGATATGGAAATGTAGGCTTGGCCAAGAAATTCTCATGTACAGCAGTTTGACCTAACACAAACACACACACACACCTTTTCTCACTACTGTAGGCCTCCCTTCCTTTCCGGCCATACACTGTAGAGCTGCACAGTACATAGTTTGCTAATCGTTACTGTGATATCAGCCTTCGAAAAACTGAATAGGGATTCCCATATCAGCTCATCCCTAATCAGAATTTCAAAAGCTGATTGTGTTAAATGCTGTAAATGTAAAAATGTAGATGTCTCTAGTAAATAACTGCACTGTGACCAGACACAGATGTTCTTTGAGTGTTTGGAAGGGGGAATTCACATGATCCAACATACATAATTCTGGTGAAAATGATATCTTTAACCACACATATACACACACTAATCTGTTTTTATTATATCAAACATAATATTGCAATGACAGTATGTAGCAATATTGTAGCATAACTAACCAGAATATCGAGCTGCTGCCTTAATTCCCCTAAACATACCCTTTACATTGCTGGAGTGATGATTTGCTTCATGTGGGAACAGTTTATCAGGGTTAATTTTTCAAATATTGCAATATTTATTGCAAACACCTAAAACATCAGCATTACCGTACAGCCCTAGTACACTCCCGTATCCTCTCCTCTTCAGCTCTCACTAGCTCTCTTCCACTCTCTCTGCTTTAGTAAATAGGCCGATCAACTCTCTGCCCTCTTCATAGCCTACTTCTCATAGCCCTGAAATAGCACGACAGGGGGTGTGCAGGTTTACAGCTTTCTCTGGGGAACTGCAAAACGAGGTCTGTCCTAGCCTGCCATGCAACACTTTATTTCTCTCTCTAACTCTCCTTCTCTTCTGTAGAGACCCCTGGGCCCACACAGTAACGTTTATGTTCTAAAATAAACGTAGCCTTGGGTGAGCATCAGGGGTGTAAATGTCTGACCTCACCACGAATCGATGACAATTCTGGAGGAAATGATCGAATGCATCATAAAAACACAAATTTCACTTTGATTCATTTTTAAAAATACAAAAATATGACTGGAAGAGATAGTTACAGAGGTGGAGATGGAAGAATACAATTACACTTCACCGAATATTATTATAATTAATTATAATCAGTTCTAACATCCCACAGTCCAAAACCTTCATAAAACATGTACTTTTACATAGACTTTCCTCTTTGTCTGGCGCATCAAGTGAGGAAGAGAGTAATGGTTGTATTTGCGTGGACTGAATTGATGACTGTGTTCAAGTTTCGGCCCTGGAAAACAAATTGTCATCTCATTTTGGTCTGACTCCTCAGAGGGAAAGAATTTGTCCTGGCCAGTTACGAGACTGGTGATATTTCAAACCAAAACAGGCTGAAAAAGCGCACACACACCGCTTAAGTAGAATCCACTCCCATCCTATTAGAGCTGATGTATATCTACTCCACCATAGAGTGGGTCAGCATGTCCAAACTTGGCCCTCTGCTCAGCTTCTGTTGCTTGGCATAGACTAGATCTACACTGCAGCAGAGGTGTCTCTGTCCAAACAAGAGTTAAACCTCATAGGCTGCTTCTTCTGAAACAGGTCGTTATCAAACAAATTTGAGTCTATATTTAACATTTCTGAGATATCATCATGGATCCTGAACCAAGAATGTAATCCTCCCTCACAGCTTGACCACTAACAATGATCATATCCATAAAACTGGCATGCTAGCACTGTAAAACTAACGAACAAATTCAGACCCCTCCAGAGGCAGGCCAAGAATCATGTGACCCATTGCTCAGTCATATATTGACTTGTGGTGGTAGACGGACAAATCATGGATCTCCTGGGACAAACTCATGTGGTGAAAGCATCTTATCCACACATATAATGACTTCACTTATATGTACTTTGAATAGGTCTGTTAGTGTATCCAAAGCAGCTAGCCTGTATATAGCGTGGTTGCTTTGCACCAATCCGCTGATAAGATAGGATGACACATGAATGGGTCAAATAGTCATTAGCATCAGCATAAGGACACTAGTGTACTAAGGCAACAATAGACAGTGTCCCATCTATTACCAAGGCTGTGTCTTGCTCTTTTGCTGTGTCTTGGATATGTGCTTTACAAATGAATGCATTGTTAATAAAAGTGCAAGTTACAGCCAAATATTTATATGGTTTGGAGTTATTTAAAACCAAACACTGCCAAGATATATGATCTGCATTTATTTAATCAGACATACAAACATCTAAATTAAACTAATCCAGTGCATAGAACAAACCGTTTGTGGCCTGCATGGTGAAGTAAATGATGTACAGAAGCCACTAAACTAGTGTACTTCATGGAGATTTTATCCAAGTTCAAAGTGCCGTGTTTCTATCTGATATGAAAGTTTTGCCTCAGTGATTACTTATCAGATTAAACATGTGGGCAGCTCTTCAAAGCACAATCTGTGGTCAAGGCTATTTACATCCTGTGTCAGTTTCTCTGGAAATAGCCCGTTGCTTTGTCACTGTATCTGTGTCCAAAAACAGCCATACAATTTGTGTCCGAATATGAACTCATGCAGCACGATGAAGCGGCAGCAACAGGCACGGCAGCATTCTTTCACCTGTGCGAGTATCTGGTGTGGTATCTGTTTTTTTTTCTTTTTTTTTCCGAAAGCAATTCCGAAAGAACCTTATGTCGCTCTCATATTACAAATATGACTCCTGCAGTAGCACAGCAAGCAGCGTACTGTGGACGAACACGAGGGCCAAATTCAACAGGGTAAATACTACAGGAGCGGATTCAACATAAGCCAATAATTGTCTCTGGTTGTTCTTTAATAAACAGATTTGATGGAGTTTTGGGGTAAAAACATGTCGCTGTAATACATGGACAGTTGTTCCAGCGATTCTTGCTGTAGAATTTTCCAACGCCTCCTCTCGTTCCCTGCGGCCTCCCATGTCTCGACTTGACCGATCACTGGCCAACCCCGACCTTTTTTTGTCTGCGTGCCCGCACCCTGTTGCCATGGCAACGCCTCAGCACCGGAGGCGCAGAGGCAGGCGGCAGAAGGACATCTATGCCAGTTCAGCCATTTGGGGCATTTGCATTGTGTGATGTTGCCCACACTCGGGAAGGTCCGCCGAGACAAGGGAGAGGAGCAGTGACCTCCCTGAAGCGATGATGCAAGGTGTGGTCAGAGCCGTCACCCTCTGTTTTAGCCTGGCCTCAGAAGGACTTGAAAAGAGGCTGTTGTGTTAGATGGCTATTCTTACAGCAAATTTAGTGAACATTTTGAGTTACTGCTAGACATGGCACAAGCAGATGATTCAGGTTATCAATCAAAAAGTCAGCCTAGAACATGGCTGCTATTCCTGCTTTCAGTTGTGCAACATCCTTTCATCCATTTCTGTTGGCAACAGTGTGCTATCCCAACATAAAAAAGTCTGTTTGAGATTACAGTGTAGTTTGAGGAAAGTGTGATGATTTAGCCATGCAGTTTGCAGCTTGCTGTTTGTTCTGTTAGTTAAGGAGAGAGAGAGAGAGAGAGAGAGAGAGAGAGAGAGAGAGAAAGAGCACGAGAGAAGTTAGCAGGGGAGAAGAGGAATTTAGGACAAGGGCAAATCCTAGACGTTCAGCACTGCCTGCCAAACACTGTGCCCATCGCTCAGTAATATGACAGCTGCCTAATGGTTCTTAACAGCGCCGTACTGACTCACTGCCCTGGTTGTACAAGACACTTTAGATAAGATTCAGTAAACTTTAGCGATTACCTCTCCACACCTGCATGAATCTTATCTCAGTCTCTTCATTGTGCGGTTATGATACCCTCTTATTAAGAAGGAAAGTCTGTCTTAAAGAGTGCTTATCTTTTAAGTAACTCTAAAGAGGCATAATGCTTTATTTTGCTTTAATTAGTAGATTAGCCCACATGTACACACAAGCACACCATTGTCTGGCAGTCTGAGATGAGTAGTAACTACTTAGATTTCCTCACTTCTGTGTACTTATGTATAATTCAGATAGATATGTGCTTTTCTGAGGATTTTCAAGTGACACTAAATGCTGAGGAATTTCTTGTATTTAATCTTATCTCATTGGTTCAGCTTTGCTTTCACTTTCAAGCTTCAGCATTTTACTTTAGAGCAAAAACAACCCAACAAACTTCTTCTAACGCTATCAGACCCTCGTTGCACTAAGAAGTTCCACTTTAGTTCTGAAGGAAATTCAGTAGCTAATTGAAGAGTTTCTGACCTCATACTTTTCTTTACTCATACTTAAAGGGGAACTACACCAATTTTTCCAAAAAATTGAACAGTCAAGATGCAACCCCTGGTGTCTGTCACCACCACTGGAAAGAATTTCATATTGAACCACTCTAAATGACTTTGTTTACATCTTAACGACGGAATTATGCATCTATATATATATATAATATATATATATATATATGTGTGTGTGTGTGTGTGTGTGTGTGTGTATGTATATCGGTGGAATTCCCCTTTAAGTTGTTTTTTTTTCTGCAGCATCATTTTTTATTTGGCGGTGATTTTAGGCTACTGTACTCACCTGTACTCCAGCCTGGGGGAGACTGGAGATGGTAGATAGCATGTGGTTCTTGGAGGGAGTTGGGTAGGCAGGTGCGGGGCTTTGAGAGTGGAGAACGCGGCGCCATCTGGCACAGGAATCCCCCTCCCTGCGGGGAGAGCGAAGGCTGGGGCTGTGGAGGTGGGTGATCAGGCTAATTAGAGCAGCGCCTCTCAGAGAAATAGAAGAAGAAGGACCGTGTCCGAGCAGAGTTTGGGTGTTAGCAACACTATATCTGGCGGCACAAACAGCACTGAGCCGTTATGTTTCTGTAAGCCTCAAAGAACAAAACACTGAGGTGCTCGAGGCTAAGCAGTAAGCTAGGCTAGCTGCGTGAGAAAACACGACAAAATTTTAAGTTAATGGAACAGGGAAAATACTCCAATGTATTTCCTCTTTTCAGAGCCTAATTTGGAGTTAAGTAAAAAAATGTTTACCTCAGTGCCGCAGTTGAGTAAACATAGATAAGCTGTGTTGCTACGCGGGCAGCAACGGTGTTTGATTCGTCAAGAATCGGTTCTTTTGAATCGGTTCTGTTCTATTAAAACAAACCGATCCACACGTCCGGTTGAACCGAACTATTTTGTAGCAAGACTGTACACAATGTTTACATTCTTGGTATAGGCTCAAGACTTATAATGACATTTAAATATGAATTATGTCGATTTGTTTCGTCGCAAAGAGTGTAGTTGCGATGGTCGACACCTAAACGAATCGATTCCTTCGAACTGATTCTTTTCAGAAGGTTTCGCTTTTTTTTTAGATCGTGTCTCTTGCGCGCACAGTCATAATGAGTGTCATCAGCAAATCAGGATTTTTCACTCTTGCCTAAGCTAAGATGACCAAGCCTGCGTACTGAAGATGAGCCGAGTTTAGTTCTAGTCTTGGTCTGGTTAGTTGAGGTGAAAAGGACAGTTTTAATATTAGAGATAAGCTAATCTGTTGCACATACACGGATCAAAACCTCTAATGTTGCCGAAGCCTGAATTTAATGTGTCGGTGTTCCTGTAGGGGAACTCCAGCGATTTTTCTAAAATTCCTGCAATAGTTTGTTTGTTGAGATGTAAACATCAGAGTGGTTTAATGTGAAAGGATTCATTGTAGACAAGCTTTCCAGATTGTCAGGTTGAAATACAGCCATTTTATGAACTTTCCAAAACAAAGTCAACCAAACATTTAGAAAAATAACTGGAATTCCTTTTTAGGTGTGTTAGATTGGTAACTTCCCAGGTAGGTTCATCTCTTTGAGCAGATACATTCTGAAATCATGAAATGCTACACTACTGCTTCCTTAAATCAACATGAACACATGTTCTGTTATGCAGATAACTTAAATTTGTCCCACACGGAAGCAGGAAGTCATTTTTAAAAAATGATTAATTACCTGAATGTCAAAGAATTATTTTTTTATTGCTTTTGTTAGATGAGAACTTAACAGAACTAGATTTCACAGTTGAGTTCAGTTCTTGTGTTCTGGCCTTCAGATGTTTGCATGTACAGAATTAATTTGGTCATTTGGTTTTGTTATGGTCTTTTATGAGGTGGAAAGGCGTTGGGCTCTGTGTATGTGTGTTTGTGTGTGTACGCGTGTGTGTGCGCTTATGCATGGTGCATTAAGCAGAAGTAAAAGTCCTCTGTCAAATATGTAGTGGTCAACATTTGAAAAAGCGTGTTTGCCCAAACGAAGATTTTTGTTCACTACATATGCAAGTTGTCAGCTCCTAGGTTTGTTTTCAAGTAACATATCATTAAGTATTAATGGCTATTACCATTCTCTTCTTATACATACTACTGTGTTGTCAAAGAGGAATTCACTCACTTAGCTGTTAAAAATTCACTCACAGTATTTTGTGTGAAAAGGTAGACTGTAGAGAAATTTAGCAACTTGCTTTCCTTTAGAATGGTGGTGAGAGGAACCAGGGGCTCAGATGTCTACAGAGTATTATTGGCCATTTTATTTACTATCCAAAATGACCAAGTGAACATACATGTCTTCTGAGTCTTTATATGAAATGGTGATAATGATAAAATAGTGGTAAATCTGAAAAAAATAATGAAGACTGTTTTGCCTGACAGCACCCTGCATCTACTCGTGCTCCATGATTGCATTTTACAAAATACATTCTAGGCTAAAACCCATCTCAGAACTACTGGAAAACAATGTCTCAGATGTCAGAGAATGTATTCATAACCATCTTGTGTGACATTCAAACATTTGGTTTCTGTCACCATGACTGTAAACAATTCTGAGTTGATACGTTTCTTTAGAACAGAGCATTTCAAAGAAAACCACCCTTGGATGAGTTTGTTTACATTAATGACTTAGATATTTAGAATTTTTTAAAAAGATCAGTGGGTTTCCCCTTAACTACTACTTCATCACAGCACACAGGTGACAGCTCACCTTGAAATGAAAGCATTTGCTGCGACTTTGCATATAGGACACCAACACTAATCCTTTCTTTCTCTTACTTTCAGGTGTGCTGCTTGACATTCAGCAACACTTCGAGGTAAACGATAGCGGCGCTGGCTTGTTACAAACAGGTAAGTCTCTCCAAATCCCATAATTACGTAGTGTTGCAAACATCCACCACAAATACCTCTCACACCCACACATGCCAAAACACACTTCTCATGCATGAGGGGACCTATTACCAGCAGCCACTAAGCTTCTTAAATCCAGAGCTAAAGGGACAGCAAAAGGATAAAAGGCTGGCTAAGGGTCCGCCACCTCTCCTAAACAAGTGCCCTCTCCATTCTTCCCTCAGTTTCCCTCTTACTTGGTTTAAGCCTGGGAAATGGATCGCTTTTGGACCAGTTGAGATCCACCCATACTAAAAAATGTATTCTGTTTACATTTTTGATCATATATATACATATATAATGGGATATTTCATTTTCACCCTACAGCTGCCACACTGTAGATTTTCCCCAGCATTTCGCAAAAGCTCAATGTGACAGACTCATTCTGGACTCCAAAAAAACTTTTGTACTACTGTAACTGCAGTGAATGTTGTTCTAAGTGAGGTTGTGAAAAGGACAAGTAATCACAGTGCTCTCCACTTCCCAAGTGCCTGACTCTCCGCTTCCTGCCACCAGGAGGAAAAGCCTGGTTTATACTGGAGCACAGTGCGCTCTTGTCAAGTCAACGATGCATTCACTTTTTCTCTTCTTTCTTTTTTTTTGCACTATGCAGTATGCAGAGTTTAGCCAATATCTCAAAGCAAGGCCACTTGAAAAAAAGGGAATCAGGGATCTTGCCCCTAAGAAATGTTTGGTCTCTGAAGTTTATGTCTCTCTGAAGTTTGTCTTTTGTCCTGCAGTTACAAAGTTCATGTAGCTAGCAAGTAATTGGAGCTTATACCCCATCAATTAGCATATCAAACAGTCTTCGAATGTTGTCGAGTTGTTACATACTCTCCTGCTTGTTTTTTGTGTCTGAGACATATTGTTATCTATAAATATGGACAGAATTACATTGTACCACTAAGAACAGCTGTGCAGTTTACACAAAGCTAATCTGTGGCCTCTAGCATCCTTAACCTGTTAGCTACATTAGCCTTGGAGCTCCAGTGCAAAACTAAAGATGTAAACTTCAGACACCAGTCTTGGTTGATAGACTACATTTGGGTAAGCGACAAACATTCGTGTTTCACCGAACTATCACTTTAAAGGCTATTTTCAGCTGGTATTCAGACAGTAGAGGCATATTGTAGGTCAGTAGAAGCTCTGGTCAGTGGGTGGGATCAGTATGGAGAGCCCACTGTTGTGTTGGGGAGGGGGGGTGGGCAAGCAGGGACAGGCATGGGTATTCTGAGGCTTTGGGTAGGGCTTCCTGAGCCAGGCCGATGTCGAGGCCACCTCAATTAGGCTTTTGTGTGCGAGCGCCGTTATGTGGAAATCCCACTGGCTGCTGGTAGTCGAGTCTGTGTAGTGCTTTAAATGTCATAGGCAAACTTGAACACAAGTGCACACGCACACACACCTGTACGCCAGCCTGTACGAACACACACTCACGTACACGTGCATACACAGTGCCTCATTGAGTGCTCGCATGCTAGGCAGGGGAAGTCTGGGATTCAGATCCAGCCAATGTTTGTCTGTTCCCTCTGTTCACTTGGTCTGAAAATATTAAAATCACTGGCCCATGGACGCCTGAAAAAACATTTACTCATAAAACTTTCAGCTGCAAAGTGTTAGATGTTTTCATTTTAGGACAAAAAAAAGAGATTCAAATAAATCTTTCACTGGATTTTGTGTAATCTTTGTTAAGTCTGAACGGCTCAAGCTTTATACATTTTTCATGCAGAACTTTGCAAAACATGCTGCTAGTTAACTACACACTTAAAAAAGATGGTTCTTCAAGCCTTCAAGGGTTCTTTAGTAAAGGCAGTTGTTCTATATAGAACCATTTCATGCTTAAATGTTTTTTTGTATGGTGAAATGGTTCTTCAGATTGTCAGAGAATGTGTTGCATGTAGTATCATCAAGCAGAACCCTTTTTGGTTAGCAGGAATCACTTAGATTGTCTTGCTTAGACGTGAGCTGAATTACACTGCCAGTGGAGATACTAAATCTGTATGAAAGTTTTTCGTTTCAAGCCAACTAGTGGTTGAATGATTGGTTTGGAGACGCAGGCTATTGGTTCATTCCCAGCAGGGAGCGTACACTATTGGTTTATACCCAGCAGGCGGAGGCAGCTATTGGCTGCTCACAGCAGTGCACTGAGTAGATGGAGACAAGGTTGACATTTGTTTGGACTTTTTTTGCCGCACGACTGGCTTCCTGCAGCCGCGAGTGCCTGCAAGCGTAAATGTCACAAAACTTTCTCCATAAAAAAACCCTGAAACAATAAAGTCTCAAGAAGGCTGTTTTATATTGCTATAAACATTCTTTACATGCTGGAATCAGATAAAGAATGAGAACTTGTACACAATAATTAGGAGGCACAGTGAAACGAACTAACACATGCTGTGTAATTCAGCTCAGTGTATGAGATGACAATAGGCTGTAATAGAGAGTGTATGGAGAACAACTGTGTATTTAGATCAGATTCTGTGTGGCCTCTGATCCCCATCTGACCCCAGTCTCACACGCTGCTGCAGAATTTCATATGCCTCAGCCACTGGCTGAGTGAGCAGTTAGAGGAAAGAGTGGGGTCACTTGGGAGCAGCTGAGATGGGTGGGTGGGTGGCACGACAGCAAATTAACCTTTTAGTACACCTGCCGCAGTGTCTGGTGGACGGCACAGTTTTACCAGTCACTCAGATTTGGAAAACTAGAATCACATCCTATCATAGTACTACTAGTGCTATAACTAATAATAATAAAAATAGGCCCAACTTACCTCATATTTAAATAATACATGTATATGGTGTCTGATTCTGATAGCAGTGATGTTCTTGCCGGAACAGAGAATTGAACATCTGATTTTATGTAGCTCATGTTTTGTAACCCAGCACAGTGTCTGATTAGAGTAGATGTAATATGTACCCGCATTTGGCTGGTGAATGGTGTTAAATTACTATCCAGGCTAGTGGGTATCTTAATGCTGTCTGCTATAATGTAACTCAGGTATTTACTTAGGGCCACTAATGAACCTTCCACTCATTTCTGCATCATTCTTAAAGAAATATCTTCTTCTGAAAACCCTCTTTCCCCCCAACCCTGTGTCATTAGCTCTGTGCTTTGTGGGATAGCTGGTAATCTACTGCAGGCTGAGCCAGCCTGTCACAGAACTGACTGTGTACCTGGTTGTGCCCTTGAGCAAGGCACCTAACCCTCTGCCCTGCTGGCAACGCTGTGCTACTTAAAGCAGCAAAATGACAAAGTTCACTTGTAGGATCAATAATTTACATAACATAATTTGGCTAGTAATCAAATTCCCCCCTTACCCCAAATATGTTCTATCAGCCAGGAGGAGCTCAATATTCTATTGGATTTTAGCTGAACATATTGTGTGTCCAGTACTGATGGTCTAATATCTGTTGTGACAGTTTGTCTTCAGTTTTAACAATAAAGGACTGCGTAGTGCAGTACTAGTGAGTGCACGCCTGTGGCTAGACTGAAATATCGGGTGTCTGTGAACCATGAGGTCATACAGCAAACAATGACACACATTTGCCTGACCTCGACACAAGACACTCTGAGAAATGACACCTGGACGTGATTGATCTGATATAGTAAGTGCCGAATAATCTGTGTTTGCAGAATGATGTTTTAGTCTTTGTTCAGACAGGCAGCCCCAGACCTTTTTGCGCAGGAAAAATCTTCTGGATTCATGATGATATCAGGATCATTTCAATATGGACGTATGGACATATTTTTAAAGAAATCAGCATCTAAGTGTCTTACATTTGACCAGTAGTTGTAAACATTTGATGATGCTTTGTGTCATTTGTGAAGAGCATTAATACTAGGCTGCTACGCTAAGTGTATGCTGCTGTCTGCATTTTATCCATTTTACTGCTTTTGTAACGCTCTACAAATTAACATAACATTTCTCTTTCATGCTGATCCCATTGGATTTAATCCAAGTTTCTAGATTTTATGAATGCATTTATATCAGCATCAGCATCTCCAGATTTGTAACTTAAAAATATAGAGTATCGGCCCTAGTCTGAATGGCTAGAAGCAACATGAAGTCTGACTTTTCTGCAGTCTGATTCAAGCCACATTTGCATTATGTTTAAAATCTGTTTGAAACTGGATCTCTGGACATGCACAATCATATTTGACCAGTTGGATTTCATGTTTTTTTTTGTCATTCTCTGATTTGGTGCACTGTGCTTCTCAACGTCAGAAAATCATACATTTGCTTCCCCTGCCTTAGTCAGCGTCTGCACACCTGCATTGTTACTATGACAACCAGTGTGAATGTGCAAGCAAATATGACTACAGTCCACTCATACAAATTGGATTTGGTCACTTGTAACTATTCAGTGTAAAACCAAGTGAAAAAAAATCTTGGAATCTGAATTTTGTCTATTATTATAGAGAACAGTATGCGATACAGCGTTAAAACAAGCAACATAAGCTGTCTAGCTGTTTGCCTAATGCTAAATAATTTGGGCTGTAAGCTTTCATTATTTTACATTAGCCTCATAGCTCCAGTGCAAAACTAAAGAAGCAAGCTTCACACACCAGACGTCTTGGCGGGGCGGCTACGTTTTGGGAAAACGAGAAAATAGTGTAAATTTGATTTTACGGTTGCTTGAAACTGCTCAGATTGACTGTTCATCTAACACAGGTCTGGTTTATGTCACCCAAGTGACAGAGCGTGTCACATATCTATGTGTCATCGCATAGACAGTCACACAGACAGCCCTGGTGTAACTTCATCCACTCTAAAGCGCCTCTCCTCAGCTGTATGATGCATTTGCCTGTACATAACACACCTGTCAGTCATCTCCATTTCCAAGACAGTAAGCATTCCATAACCATTTCCTTACAGCTAGTTCCTCATCACTGGACTCTTGCCACATCTCATGGCTCAGTCCTATTAGTGTCTTGAAACTGTGTTAAAATAGCTACTGTCTTAAAGG